ATAAAAAATTTTATCAATAGTTTTTTAGTTTATATTGATAAGAAAAACATATACTTCCTTCATAAGACAAACTTAAATGTTGTCTCGGTTAAATTAAAAATCTTTCAAAAGACACGTACGATCTATATAGTAAATATAAATCTAGTTTTGTTTAATAGTATTTTATTTCTATTTCATTTGAGTATTCATATTTTTTTTATAGCTTTCCTCACCTATTATAATCCAAAAAATGGCTAAAAATAAATTCTAAGATTTTCGTTTTTATAATAATAATTAATGAGGCTTCATTTTTAAATCAGGCTTTTGAATTTATTGTAAATTGACTTTTAAATTGGGGCATAAATTATTCTCTGAAAAAAAATTAAGTGGAGATCATAGTGCACATAAATTGAGCTTTTAAGTTTTGCCGTAATTTGTAACGCACCTCTTGTTTAAATTGAGGTTGTTATTTTATTAATATCGTCGATTCAAAATTTTAAACAAGTCCTAAAAAAGGATTAGTTTTTGAAAATTATACAATCGTCTGCCTTATTTTTTTAATTTCTAAATATTCCTTTTTAGGATATAAGTAGGTTATTTATATTACATTTTATATAATATTACAAAGCTAAGAATAAAAAAAGTAATGAAAGAGCAAACCTATTTGCACGAGGCCATTTGAAATGCATTATTTGCGCTTGCAACGCAGCGTTTGAAACGCCAATTTGTGCGCACTATCCCTCAATAATAATCAAAAGCCGAAATAATAGCCCTTCTTTTTTAGGAGATATTTGGCCCCTTCTTTATGATCTTCATAAATTATTAATATATATGTACACTTAAAATTACCAAAAAAGATAGTAATGAATATTATCATATTTTATAAAGCTTTATCGTATAATTTTTAACTAATTTCGATCAATAACTTTGGATTATTAGTATTATTTTGTTTGTTACACATTAATATCCCTTCGTTCTATTCTATAATCGAATGAGTTATTATATATTATTGTTTTCCTAATATCCTCAAGCTTAGTGAGTTTAATTATAACTATGTTAAAATAAGATAACTGCGTGGAAAAAAAAGATGCCTGAGTTTTTCCCATGAAATTATATACGGGCGTCGGCCCGTTTAATCGGGAGAGGAGGGTGAGGGAATAGAATAAAAAATGCTATATTTTATTTTAGAGATTGGCAAAACTTTGGCAAATAACCCATAAGGTATTCAATTATCTCCTCCAGCCATAATATGTAAATAATGTTAATTATTTTTTAATATATAATCATAATCATTTTTTTTATTAAACAGAAATAATCCTAATATTAAAACTATTAACTCACCTCCAACCTTATTAAATTTATGAAGTTAGCTTAACGACTAGGCGACTTCTACACCCTTCTTAATGACATTAATATAGACAACTGATTATTCGGCATTAAATACTAGGCTAATTGAAGGGCATTGTGTTTAGTAATGCAAAATCGCTACATTTGAGCCGATTTTTAAATAGCTAGTTAAATATTGCTTAAGTTTTAAATTTCTCTAATAGATGTCCAAACCTAGTGCCAACTATTGGCAAAATCTTCAAGCTTGAGTAATATTTTCTTAGGTAAAATATTGAGTTAATCGTTTTAAAAAATCGGCTTAAGTGGAGCGATTTTGCATCACTAATTGTGGTATAAAACAAAGCATTTTGCATTAAATATTTATTAGATATATGGCTGCCTGTTTTATAAAGTTCTATATCCATTTTTGGTCGAAATTAAGTCAGGGCAATAATATTATTTCTATGAGTTCCCATCACCCACTTAACACTCAAAAAACCCTAAAAAATTCATTAATACGTTTATATGTATTGAAATTAAATTCTATCTCAGTTCGGTCCAATGATTTAATTATTATAAGGTCCTATTTACATAATCAATCATAAGCCATTATTTTTTTTATATAATAAAAAAAATTTCATCTATAAAAAATTTAAAAAGGCGTCTGTTCTTTATTAAAATTAAAACCAGAAAAAGGTCGCTTGAGAGTTTTACCAGTTAAATATTAGTACCTAAGATAATGAGAACTGCGTAAAGAAACTAGATAAGCAATCCTTTAACTATATTTTTTACTTAATGATTGTTTAACTCTTATACTCAGATGAAAAAATAACGTAAATGCTCCAGTGGGGTCTAATATACCCCGATTTCAAATAAATTTATCTCCATTTGTATTCATTAATTAGTTTTCGTACTTTGATATAAGATAGAACTAAGATTGAACCTTATAAAATATTTATTTATTTTAATATATTCTTAGATAAAAATGTTGGGGATAATTATAACTTGTGCCAAAATTTTCTAAGGCCATTTCCAGAAAGTATGTTTTTTTTTCAAGGCTATTTTTGAGGCATGTTTTCCAGAATTTTTTTTATTTCCAACCAAAGGCTAATAATTTATCGAATTTAACCATTTTTATCTAAATCAATTCTAGCATGCTTGGGATCCTATAGACCCCATCGGAGTTTTGAAGGGTTAAAACAGGGATTCAAACCGAACCTTTAAACCGGAATTAACCTTTATTTTTTAGCGAACTTGAACTTCTAAATTATTTTATATACGAACCTGAACAGAACGGCTAAAAATGTCTGTGAAGAACATGTAACCTCATAAATTTATGTTTATAAAATAATGTTAAAGATAATATTAGTAAATTGCAAAAATTCTAATTTATACCCGATTTGTTTTAAAAATTATTAACATTCAATTTTGATTGATAAGTATCCGCCACATTTTTTATAAATTTTTGTGTATTGCTATCTTACAACATTTTTTAAATAATTTCTTTTTTTATATTAAAATTTAAAAAATAAACTTTAATGCCTTGAGATAATTTAAACCAATAAATAATATTAATAGTATTATAAATGATGCATCCAACCAAATGTAAAAATACAGATTGTGATATAATCATAGGCATGGCCAGGATTTGACTACTGTTATTTTATACTCCTATTATAATTAATTTGTAGATATTTATATTTTTCTGGTATTTAAACTTGAATTTTCACTAAGACTTCCACAATATATATATATATCATATTAATTCTAGAGAAAAATCTAGAATCAAGAAAATAACAATTCTGAAATTTCTTTGACAACAAATAGACAATCTAGAAGAGGATTTTAAGCGAAAAAATTTCAAAAGAAAGATAAGATAGATAAGAAATCAATCAGGACCTGTTCATATTGGTTTTTAAAATATGGTCGGCTGTATGCAGAGTAATTTTAGAAACTAAATATAGTCAATTAATTTTTATCGGTTCGGACTGGACGGACCGATAAAAATAAATCGATTCTATTTGGTTTCTAAAATCGATCTGCATGCAGTTGATAATTTTATTTCGAATCCTGGAAGTACGGTCTCGGTTGACCAACACATTAAATATTTTAAATTTGTTTAATAAACTTCGTATTCAATAACTACGGCAAAACCAGCATCGTGCAAATTGGGAAAATTACCGTTTGGTGTTAGCAACCATTTAAAAAAACGTAAATTTGTTTTTTCAATACTATTTTATTCTTCATTTTGTAATAGTATATAAAATATAAAAAAAACTTATTTTTATCTTAAAATAGAATATTTAAAAAATTAAGGAAATAAAAAGGAAGACGATAATATAATTTCCAAAGATAAATCTTTTTTTTTAGAACTTATTCAAAATTTTGAATCGACAATACAAGGGAGACGTTACGTTTTTTTAAATTAAAAAATTACGCAGAAGCAAAGGCTCAATTTATGACACTATTAATTTATATAATATTAAATGCATTTTATAAAAATATATATTTATAGATGTGAATGAACATCAACTCGTTCAGAATAGAAAGCGTTTTTTTTGTTATAAATGAATTTTGAATGAGAACGTAGTCGATTTTTGCAAATGAACGACGAACGTGAACGAATTTGATTTAAAATAATGTCTACAACGCTCATTTTAATTTTTTGATTATTCAATTTATAGGCTATGTTTTTTTATAATTTAATTTTGATACTTTTGGTGTCCAGACTGCATTTTGAATTCAGAATAAAAATTAAATTGAGCTAGGACGCGGCCTAGAAGTTTAATGTACAAACTATTTTTTAAAAGTTTTAAAATAGGATTAAACTCGGCTAAAAATAATATTTTTGTAAAAGGGCAAAAATCTAAGAAATGCATTAAAAATATTCGATAATTTTTAAAACCTGTAAAATTTTATTAAAAGCTTCTGCCATTGAAGCGTTGGTGAAAGGTAAAGTAAATCAGCGAGTTTCTAGGGAGACTATTGTATAGACGATCCAACCGCTAGGTTTATCGTCTAAAATTATAAACTATTTATTAATAAACTTAATGTTTAAATTTTTTTTTAAATCGATTATTTCCTTAAAATTTCTATTTTTCGCTAAAAATATGCATCTAAAATAGCTTGCTAGAACGTAACCGTGAGAAATCAAATAAGAAAATTTTTTACATCTTACAAAATTTTATATTTAATAAACCTAAACTATTATTTAAACTGAAAAATGAATGAAAACTTAAGTTTAAGCAAAAAATGTTAAATAGGTGAAATGACTTGAAAAGCAAATCCGAAATCTATGTCCATCTTTAGTGCTTAATTTGTTTAAATCTGGATATCAGTAAAATGACAGGTTTGTGAGTTAGAAGCTACTCAGATATTAGGTTTGAATGATATTTCATAAATTATGCATGATGTTTGAACAATATTGCATAAATTATGCATTAAATATTGACGTTTACAAAATTTGTGTTTCTCATTCTTCTATCAAAGGTTTATTAAGAAAACATATTTTAAAAAAATTAGGTGTTTTTCAAATAAATTTAATCAAAAAAATTATACGGGAGATTTTAGAAAAATATATTAAAAAATAATAAACAAAATATTTCGAGGGCGTTGCACTTCCTTGCCCTGCCAAGGCAATGCGTGTGATATAATTATGTCAAAATATTGTTATATAATTCTTATGCTATATAAACCGGCTGTATTCTTCAACTCGGCGTTGAGGCAAGCACTGAAATGTTTGATAAAAGCTTTAGTAGCAGCATAGACGGTGAGACAGGGCGTAGAATTGAGAGCCGAAAAAGATGAGACGTTTATAATAGTTCCACCTTTGGAATTTTCAAAATTTTGGAAATTCAAAAGTTCTTTGTCGACCTCCAAATCAGTGTTTGAAGTATTGAGAGAACGCCTAGGCAGCTTCATGCGTTTTAAGCAGGCTATGGTAACGTTAAGAGTGCTCATTACATTTACATTCACCATATTCTGACTAATTTGGTATTCACCTGTAAAAAAATATATGTTTAGTAATTTATTTTCTTTAGCTATTGTACGAGGATTAATAGATGAAATAAGAAATATTATTTTCTAATTATACTTTCTTTTTTTTTCCTTACTCCCTTCTCTCTTTCATTTCCTTCATACTTTCTTTAGTAGTGTAAAAACTGCTTATTCTGGATGGCTATTGAAAATAAATTATTTTGGCATGATCAAATTAGTCGATTTAAAATATTAATAAAAAAACTGTTTGTTAATATCTATAAAATATACAATCAGAATCTCCATAAAAAAAATCGACCAATAAATAATTTAAATTCATATTAATAAATATCTTGTTTGAGCTAGGAAACAAATAATAAATATTTGAAGCTTCTAAAGTTTTATTTATCATATAGTAAGTAGCTAGCTTTTTTAACTTGAGGAGTTTTAAAATATTTAAAAATTTAAAATATGAGGTAATTTTTTTTAAAAAAAATTTATACTTAAAAAAAATTTCCGGAGGCTCCGTAAAGTTTTAGGGGAGGGCAAGCCTAGTTCGGGCCTAAAAATGTATAAATATGTAGGACAGGGTTTACATTTTCTTCAAAAATCGGGTCGAGTCGGACTTGAAAAATATAAAAAATAACATGACATCTTGTTTTATCAAAATAAAATTACTAGAGTTGTTAAAGTATCTAGATATAAAAATATGGTATCTGTATCTAGATAAATTTTTTTAAAATTTGAAGATATTATTTTAGAGATATATCTATCAGTTTTTAGATACATTTTGACTTTTATTTAACGCTTTTTTATATTATAAATAAAAATAACTTAAATGCAAAATTTTATTTCATATGAGCAATAATTTAAATATAATATCAAAGACCTGCAGGCCCGAACCTAAGCCCGGCCCGGGCCTAAAATTTTTTTAAAAAAAAATATCCGGGCCTACCGTATATTTTAAAACCAAATATTTAAAATCGCCATTATTGGCTATGAAAATCAAAAATAAATATAATATATTTTTATATCAGTGCCGGACCTGAAAATTTTTTTTTAAAAAATAGCCGGGCCGAAAAAAATTTTGAGCAAATGCTACCTCTGCAGGTCTCTGATATTATAAAATATTAAGACTACTATAATAAAAAATATATATAAATATTAATTAAATATTATGTCCGAGTTTATCAATAAACCAAATAAATTTTGAAATTACAATTTATCTCAAGGAATCTTGCCATTTTTATTTTAAATGGAATTGGTTAATTTTATTTTATTATACTAATTTTAAAAATTTATTTTGGAAATATTAATAGTGATGAAGAGGAAGAAGTAATAATCAATGAAGCATCAACAAGTTCAGACATTGTTTTTCCATGGCCAATTTATAGAGTATATTTTAAAATAAAATCTCAAAATAAAGAAAACATATCTCTGATAGTAAAATGTTTGCCATGTCTACCAAAAAAATACGAAAATTTTAGTTAGCATTACCTCAACTTGCAACACTGTAAAACATTTAAGGGTATGGATATGCTAAATAAATGTTTACAATTGTAATTTTAAATTTTAAGAGAAAACATCAAACGTTGTTAATGAAAAAAACAATTAATACAAAGATTAGTTGATGAATTATCAAGGTCTTCAACTTATATTGCGTGAAAAAAAAAATTAAATATCCGATTGTTAATAATGATTTATTTGATACTCAACAAATTTTAAATAATTTTTTCAAAATTATTGTCGGATTTTATTATTCATAAAATATAACACCACAATCCCTTCAAGCAACCCGTAGAAACTTTTTAGTGTAGCTAAAAAATGTCTTTATAGATAATCGAGGATTTAATGACCAAAATTTTGAAAATATTTTATTACTGAAATCTAATAATTATATTTATAATCAAATCATTTAATCATAATTTTCTTATATTATTTATTATATTAAAATCAAAAAATCATTATTTTCGTTATATTTTGATAAATGTGATATCGAGTCAATACATTTTTTAGCTTATTTCATGAATTTTCAGAATAGAATCCTAATTTAGGTTTATGCAAATCTTATATAAGAGTATATTAAAAATTGTATATTCTCTAGATACATTTTCAAAATTATATCTGTATCTAGATTAGATCTATTTAAAAAGTATCTTAACAACTCTGAAAATGATAATTAATATCTATCTGTGATAAGAATAAAGCACAGTTTTTATTTATCTCCATAAAAATGCGTTTAATTTATATATGAATTAAAATTTTCGGACCAAGCTAGGGAACAAAATTGGGGCTCAGGCGCCAAAAAAAAAAATTTATAGGGCATCCTTCGCCCTCTCCCCAATGACGTTGCTGTCAAATAATATTTTTTAAATAACGCACTTTATACTAACCGCGAACTCCAATTCTGAAAATAATTTATAAATAAAATTTAATGTTTGTCATTATTCATTAAGCATTTTTAGTTCTAATGGCATAAAGATGGTAGGTTGAATACAAATAATAATAAAACTTTTAAAATTATTGGCCATTAGTTGTATATTTAGACCTCATTATATCATCTACTTAATTTCAAAAATATATTTAGCATTTGATAATTTTTTTTCATTTAATAATAAATCAAAATATATTAATAAAAATATTATTAAAGACATTGTTATGTGTGATTTTAAAAAAAAACTATTTATAGATTTTTGAGAATGAAGGGCGAGTTTACCAAAAGTGGTAAGAGTGGTTGATTCATATGAAATTATGATCATCAGAAATTTCTGAATATTTAGTTATTTTTGTTTAATTTAGTTCAGAATTTTGAGGCTTGGTTGGAGGGAGCCAGCAAATGAACAAGAATAGCCCCATACAAATAATTGGCCCCTCTTCGTATCTAAGTAATCCCATCGGGGCGTTTATTGTCTGAAGAAAAGACCAGTTCTAGTATTGTAGGTATTTGAGCTGATTTTAGGGTTCGTTGAATGATAGTTACATTGGTTATGCCTGATGAATTGGCCATTGCATGATTGATAGTGTAGGCTATATCTTCCCTTTGTGTATAAGGGTGAGTTACAACCTGAACATGTGTGGGGATGGGTATGGCATGCCTAAGTTCATTGTTTAGAGTTGTAATTACAGATTGACTAAAGGAATGGCCTCCAGAAACTCGTTTCCAATGCCATTGATTAAGGAAATGAATAGGGTGGACTCGGTAGTTACAAGATGGATAAGAATTATTTCGATGCAGCGAACTTCTACAGTCCCAATTCTTATGTCTGTAGGTTGTAGTTCTATAAAAAAAATCGATCCTGGTTTGTAAGGTTTTTTAACGGCCTTGGTCTTTAAAAACAATTAAAATATACCAATTCGGCATTTTACGGATCATTCAACGAATATGAAATCATATAATAACTTTTCAAATCATCTTATCTCCCCATTTGTCGTAAAGAATATAGTTTGAATCATCCCACTTTCGTTTTGAATGGTCAATGGTAATTTCATTATTTCCTATTCTTCATGTAATTTATAGTCTTCCATATGAGTATCAGTTATTTCTCCCAGGCACCCTACGTAATTGCCTGAATTTAGGACAGAAAAAGATAAATTAATAGATACTTATCTAAGGCCATTTTCAGACAGAACGTTTTTTCAAAGCGGTTTTAGGGTAATGTTACCAGCTTTATAAAAAAAACTAGATTGTCGAATTAATTTTTTTATATAATATATTTTTTTAAAAAACAATCCAATCCCTATTTTTTTAATCGTAAATAGAAAACAAACTGGTTTGATTTTAATAACGATTAAATTAACTTTGAAATGTGGCTCCAGGATTGTTATTTTTAAATATTATATTATATTAAAAATATTAATAGAACAAGTTAGTAACCTTTGTTAGGAAATAAAAAAAATTGCTGGTAACATTACACAAAAACCGCTTTGAAAAAACGTTCAGTCTGGAAATGGCCTAATATAAATATTTCCTTAAAAAGTGTATTATATTTTAAATATTGAGTGTATCTTTGTTAATTTTAATTTGATTGAATAAATAATGATTAGTCAATAATTAATTTGAATAATATTTTACTAAAATCTTTTTCTAAGGATCGCCAAAATGTAAATAGGAAATTGGATAAGTGAAGAATATGATATATTGTTCCATGATACACAACTTTTAAATATATTCTATTTTATTTATTTATTTTCAAACTTTATAGATAATAATGGCGATTTAAAATATACGGCCCAGTCCGAGCATTTAAAAATAAAATTTTTAGTCCCGACCTGGTCCGCACATATTTTTAAAATAAGGTCCGGTTGTAAATTTATTTTATTAAAATATTTATATTAATACTTCTGATGATGATTCTAAAGACTTCTTATGATTCATAATGGAAAAACTATTCTTTTATCTTACCTTATCGTTTACTTTCAATTTTTCTGCTTTCCCTATCAATTTTATATAAATATTCATTAACTATTCCTACAACCTCATGCACTGCCGAAAAAGTCATGAGCAAAATAAAACTAATTAACACAAAATTTCGGAATACTCTGAAAGATCCATCTCCTAAAATTTATAACCATTTTATCAATGGATCAAAATTTGTTTATAGAATTAATCGGCGAAAGTATAATTTCTTTCGCTTTATCTTCTCCTAATTTGTCTAAATTATTAATTGATTTTTTAATTTCATAACTTCCAATATAAATATTTTTTAAAGTTTATATTGTTTTGCATTTTCATAGTTATTGTATATTAAAGATTGATGCAATAAAAATTATTTTACTTATTATTTTTTTAATATATAATTCAGGATGAGCCAAAAAAAAGTTAACTGCTATTTTTCGATGGTGGGGGGGGGGGGGGTAGTGTTGTTAAACGGCTCGATTTTAAAAAAGTCTAATCCGATATTTTAGCCAAAAAATATTACGCAAACTTGGAGATTTTGTTCATAAATGGCAGAAAGATTTGGACATCTATTTATTAACAAAATCTCAAAACTTAATATCATTTTGGCTTACGTCTTAATTTAAAAGG